AATTGCTTCTGCTTGTCGGAGAACGTGCTAACAGCCATAATAAATAATAGCGATATTTATGGACTTTTAAGATAATCAGTTAAACTAGCTAGCTGTTTTTATTGTTGACGTTTTATTCAATTTTCTAATATAAATGTAAATGAAAAGAATTAAAAAAAAAAAAAAGTTAGATATCATTCCACATATGTGATGGACATTGGTTATGATCATCTTTGGTATCTACTTTGAAGGCATCTTAAGTAAAACTGCTTCATATTGAATGAAGCATATGCAAAAGGCTTGAACCAGAAGCAGCGAGACCAGGTTAACAGAATACGGAAGTCTGTTGCGCATAACCCCTATTTTATGTTATCTGACTAAAAACTATTCATATTTTGAACTATTATTATTACAGTATTTATTGAAAAAAAAAACAGGGTGCTTTAAAAATAATTACAACACTGGTAAAATGGGCTTATACTGATTTTCTCATCCTCCGAATTATACTTATCAATCCTGTTTTTATTATCATTATCATTAAAAAAATGAATACATTCAGAACAGGATTAGAACAGAATTCTATTTTAAATATGACAGAAATATTTTTTTTCTACAACAGCAACAGTAGTGTTTACAACAGCAAAACACTATACCCTGTAAACTCGATAATAATAATGATAATAATAATATAAATAATACAATTCAGTTTCTAGTTCCAGAGTAATTCAGAGGTGCAACGAGAAAAAAAAAATTTAAACTTAAAATGGTCTTTTCTGTTCTGTTTCTTTTTCAAAACTGTGTCACGGTATTTGCTGCTGCTGTATCAATACAGAAGCATCCGTATCGATACGCTTATCAGCAAGGAACGCATCACAGTATATTGCTGTACTGATATGAGCACAGCCCTATTTAAAGCCTTGTTCCATGTGCCCCTTTTATACTTTGAGCACCATAGCTCCATAGGTCTCTGCACGGCCCTGCAAACGGGCAAACGTTTACTTCAAGAATGAACAAAGTGGTATTGATGAGTTTAAAGTTCGGTGTTAAAATAAACAGAGCAAACGGAAAGCAAAAGTGCAATCTCTCTATAAGAAGCATGCAGACTTTAATAAAGCCTGAGAAAAATGCACAATACACAATATTCCTGGCTAGGGTTAAGTCATTATGCTCATTAACAATGATTTGGGACATATATAATGGTAAACTGTGTGAATGGCGCTGTGGCGCGGAAAGATTTCTATCGGCTGAGTGAACATTTGCTTTCTCACGTCACAGCTTTAAATATGCAACTTCGCTGGATAACAAATTCATTAATGTGACCAACTGGATATAAATGATGCAAATAGATGGTAACAATCGTGACATTAAACAATAGGGTCGGACTTGCGTGTGTTTTGCTCACATTGTTTTAACCACTTGAGGTGCTGCCATGATAAGAGTCCTCTCAGCCTTGACTGCAAACATACTGCTGTTCTCCACTAATGCAGCATCTAGTCAACAAATTACTTAGTAATGATATAAAAACAGTTAAACTGTGCACTGTTCCTCAGAAAAATCCTCCATGTCCTGCAGATTCTTCAGTTTTCCAGCATCTTTTGCATATTTGAACCCTTTCCAGCAGTGACTGTATGATTTTGAGATCCATCTTTTCACACTGAGGACAATTGAGGGTAAACATCTTTTATGTAAAATATCTTACTCAGGACAGTACTAAATAAAAAATAACATGCATTTTGTATGATCTCTCTTATTTTGTTAAAATTATTCCCATTTTCACCGATTCTGCAAGGGGTTCCCAAACTTTCGCATGTCACTGTACATAATATCTGCGCTATTGGTTTCCACTTGTAGAAACTATGGCAACACACGTGGACAAAAATGCTGCTGCAGTTAAACTAAATCCATTATGGCAGTCGCAAATAAAATGAAAATTAAATGAAAAGTGTTGACTGCAGCGTTAAATTTTGATCTGCTCAATGTTGCACCAAGAATCTTTTTCCGCGTTTTTACAGTGTTGCATGTTATAACCAATCACACACACGAGTCTGTTGAGTTTATGAACACAGCAGACAATCAGAGGCGTTTAGATGAGTCTTCGCTGAAAAGAACGTTTCAAAACTGGAGTTTTGTTCAGTGCGCGTGCTCGCTGAGTGTATTCTCTCATCAAAAACAGCAAAGTGCAGATGTATGTATGATGCAAGTAGGAGATTCATTCATCAAACTGTGTATAGACAGCTTTACTGATTATAAGAGGAGTTTTTTGAGAGTGCTTAAACTCGTGCTAGACTGAAGTCAGGCATACTGTACTTTGACAATGTAATGTTAAGTGTTCTTTGCTCGCTTTCTCTATATAGTTTATTCGCTGTTTGAATAACTTTGGAAGGTACAGGTAATAATAAAAAAAAGATAATTCATTATATCCGTGAACATGATTCGGACATCTCTGGATGGTGAAAACGACATCTCCCATTGTTCCACTCTCCTTCATAGCGTCATCAAGCTTCGCCTTTGTTGTTGTTTTGAAAATGCGACCTCTAGCAGCGAAAACGTACATATTGTGCCTTTAATCATGTCTAAACATTTATTCAAATGCAAAACTTAAAAATAAGTAAGCAGGTATGACCTGCAATACTCTTTTGAGAAACTAGTAGATACATGTAGATTTATTAAAGAGCCATGACCTAGTGGGTAAACCATGGCATTACAAAAAAAAAAAAAAAACACAAAATGACTTTAATTTGCCTCTTTGCATTGGAATTTAAAACCATTTTCTCTATTTTAACCTTAAATACTACTGCCTACTACACTAATTGTAATATAAGTAATAGAAATACATATTAAAAAAATATTTTAAGTGGTCAGTAATGGACTATTGCAAAAATAGTATTTAGTACCAAATGATCTCCTCAAAATATTAAATAAATATTATTGAACTAAAATATAGAACATAGACACTGATGAGCTGCGACTGAGGAAAGCAACAAAATTTGCTTGTCCTCTTGATAACTCAGGTATGTGTTCACAAAAGTGAAAAATACAAGTCAATTTCCATGTCAAAACATTTAAGCTCACATTTGTTATGTCTTTGTAGTCAAACAAATTGGCATGGGAAAAATAATCAAGATGAGTTTTTCACGGTTAGTTTGGTAGAGCGACGGTTGGACTGTTTTATGATTTCGGCCACCGATCTAAATGTAAATGGTAAAAGTACCTCAGAATGTGATATTCTTACAAAACAGACCCAGAAATTGCAAATATGTATATATTTAGGGAAATATATCTGTTTAACAAGAGTATGATAACTTGTGTAATGCATGACCGTTACAATTTGAATGATACTAGTGTATTAGCTGTGTGATGACGAATGAGTTACAGAGTATCATTTCAAATGGTTACAAAACTGTTCACACAGAAGACATAAGGGCGTATTAAAGGGATTTTAATGTGTATTTTTCAATATACTGATGAAATGTGTTTTGTGAACAGAGTAAGACTGTATTATTCATATTCTCATTTACATCCATTTATAGACATTCTCACTTTTAATATAATATTTAATTTATTTTATTCCCCTTACATTTTTAGTTTGCAGCTGTCAAAAATATAATTATATTTATATTTCTGTTCCTGGTTTATAATTGATCAGGGCTTAAAGTTCTCCGGCACCGTGCTGGTGTTGTGCCGAATTCTGCACCCCCTCGTTGAAGTCGCTACCTGATTGCCTAATCCCAACCCCACCCCTCACTTTCAACCAAACTAACATTACTAGCCAATCAGAATTTTTGCTCTTGTAAACACGAGACGCGCATAAATGGAGAAGCGCGACAAAAAGCTAGGAGGCGCAATGGTCAAAGATGTCCATCTAGCGCATATTTACATAGAAAAACTAATTAAAAAGCAACGGAGATTTGTAAACAGCTCAGAGTAATCATGTCATCTCCATAAGAACGATATGATTGCCAGAACAAATTTACCGGGATTTTTGAAAAGGTCCTGTTCACACATGATCTCTATATCGTTTACTGTGTGGAGCAACCCGTTCTCATCAGTCTGCATATAAATAACACGACTTTACACGTTCTAATTGCGTGTAATGCATACGCCAAATGCCAATTTTGCGTGCATATGATACGCCAATCCTTCACATTAACTTCGCTGGAGAGCAGATGCGTCCAAATACCACGCGTCATCTTCAGCGGCAGTGACGTCACCAGCGACGCTCCGTTTGCCCAGTTCACCTGATGCGCGTACACCTTCAAACAGGTAAGGGCAACGATCTCTTTTTGTAATGAGATCTCGTGGTTAACGGTATTATTTTATTTATTTCAGTGTTTCTGCATCATGTTACATGGGGTCATGTGTTAAAATGGCAGAGTATGCGTTCAAATTATGGAACAGTGGTCTGCTCAGTTAGCACAGCTGCTAACGATAGCCTACCATTGACATTAGCCTAGGCTAACTTATTCTGTATATAGACCTGTTGCAGTTTGAAATAAATAAATAAAACCGTTTTTAATCATGTTGTGACAAGGGTCTTCAGCTTTTAGACATGGCTGATGACAGCACAATAAATCAACCAACCCGGTATCGCGTGATAATCGTGATCATGTAAAAAGTCCACACATTTACTATATTTTTACCATAGTAGCCTAACTGTTGCTCGACCTTGTCATGTGTAGCCAATGCACAGTAACTACAACATATTTACCATGCTTCTCCCACCGTAACCGTAGTTTTACTGTGGTATTTGTAGTTACTAAAGCATAATAACCACAACACTTACTATGGGCTTAACGTTACCTCAGTAATCGTAGTTTTACTGTGGTATTTGTAGTTACTAAAGCATAATAACCACAACACTTACTATTTAAAACTGATTTGCTTTAATGAACGCATCCTTATATTATGTGTTAATCAAATATTTTGGTCACAGATCATTTTTAACACACTGTCTCAACATGTTTATATTTCCCTTCGTTTCAGCTGAAAGGGAAGACCAAAGGAAGGCCTGTCATGGGATTTGAATTTGACCATGCTTTATGGAGAAGACCAAAAGCTGCAAAGGCAAACACTTCCAATAGTACGTCTGTGTCGGTCTGAGCACTTTGACTGAACATTACTGCAGAGACATTTTGCACAGCATTTGATGTTTCTTAAACTTTGGTTTACATATTGTCCACACCTCATAGTCTGCCTTTCTTTCCATGTTGATTTGTATTGAACACATCTGTCTTAGAAGCAAGATTCTGGAAATGCTAGTTTAACTTGTCACGTGACAAATCAGATCTTCAATTAATTTGGCCAAATCAGATCACTTAAAGCTGTTCACACCAAGAACAAGAACTATAATGAGAACTATTTTAGCATCCACACCAACAGACGATACTGTTCTGTTTACTGTTATACACGCTGCAGTTACAGTATGTTGTTGTCTGCCATTTGTTGTTGTCAGTGTTTTTGTTGTTCATCATGTGATACATTCTCTTTGTTCCTTCTTGCAGGATTTCTCACAGATTACTTAGTCCTTCTCCATCAGCTCTCCACAATATCAGCCCGTCCAAAAGCTTCCACATCTCTCTCTCTCGTGTGGCACATCTGCTCTCAGTCCTTTACTGCCAACTTCCAGTCTTAGCATGTCTACTTGTATTAATTTCTCCTCTACAGTCATCACTCCCATCTCTACTATAAGCACTCCTGTCACTATCACTATATATATATATATTTGCTCAAAATGGTTGACTTTTATCATTATAAAATTATAATTGTTATTAACCATTAATTTGTCTTGCATTTAGTCACAATAGAAGCAAACAATGATTACAGGAGATATATTTTTAAAGGTAGTAGTTGTAAAATATTGAAGCATTGTTCTTAATCATTTTTGCCTATTTGTTTGTTAAAGGGAAGAAAATAATATATTTTCAACTGGAGCCTTGAATATTGTTTGGCATCTTTTGGCACGATTTCTGTAAACAAATTATCTTTAGAATTAGACTAAATTAGAATTACAATTTTAAAGGGGTTTTCTGTTGCATTTTTTTTAGTTACCTCTATGCAAATACATTTTTATAATCAACTGCTTTTTTGTTGTTTTCATTCTTTTCATAGTGGCACAAACTGGAGAGAGAATGCTGTTCTGGGCACTATGTTTATCTGGGTTTTACATATCAATTAACATTGGAAAATGACTACAAAATGTGTGAATCATGATGTTTTTTGTTTGTTTGTTTTTTATTCCTATAGTTCAACTGGCAGATCTAAGAAGGGCAAGTTTGTAGGTACCATTTCCAGGAAACAGAGAAGTGATTAATGGTTTACCTTTAATACACTATAAATACACCGTACATGTTACAGAAGCAAAATTGAATAGTAGAAAAATACTGCATGTTTGAATAATCATCAGAGGTGGGGTTTTTTTTTTAAGCAAATGAAACATTTTGACTTTTATTATTTATTTTTCACACAGTATATGCAAACGTTTGAGTTTAAATATTGTACATCAATTAATATTAGTGTAAACAATGTAGCCAATACAATGGGAACCATTATGCCCTCCCGTGAAAAAAATCACTGTACTCAACAAATCTATTGCTGCATCAGGTTAACCACACGATGCAATCTGTTGCAGTTTTATATTAACCGGGGGACAAATAAATCTTTAACAGATTCTGTCCATTCACCATAAGAACCCGGAAATGACCATATATGGACAAGTAAGTGTGACGCCTCTGCTCAACTGGGTTGCCATTGGCTTTGAAATTCCCTTGGCACTCGCAGAACTCGCTGTGATTGGACTATCTTTTAGCCCAAATTAAAAAACGCTTAATTTTGCAAAGTCCGTTTTGCTGTTATTATTTCATCAGTAATACCTTAAGTTAACAATGCAGTGTTGCTATGTCGTGAGAAATTACCTCTTCACCGAGATCGTAACCCTAACCCTAAGCATAACTTCATTAAACTACAAATACCAACGACAATTTTTTTCACGTTCTATGATAGAATGGCAGAGGCTTATGGGTAATGTAGTTTAAAATGTTTAATAATACATTTAGGGAAAATACACTCTTTTTTGAACAAAGGGTCATCTAAACATGTTCATTGTGCAAACATTTATGACATATTTAAGAGGCAGGCTGAAATTTGGTATTTTACTAAGAGCACTTTTTTTAAACACCTTTATACCACCTTTCCATATATGTTTGAAAACTCTGTCCAACATTATTTAATTAACATAGCATAAGTAGTTGTCCTGCCAATTTTCTCTTTTACACTATAATCAGACTTTGATTTACAGCAATTTGAAATGTTAAATTTTTTTGCTCTTCCAGGGGACTCTACCGGGCCCCTGGGGATGGAAGGGCAGTAAAACATACACAGATCTATTCTCATCATGGACAACAAACTGTGCCGAGTCACATTTTTAAGATTGTCTTTTCAACAACTTGCCAATATGTAAGTTGCAAGTCATGGTTATCTTAGAATAAGAATAGACCCACAAAAATATCTACATCAGTGCTCATTCTGGGCACCATTTATTTAATTAGATCAGGAGCAAGAATGCAGTGTTGACAGTAAACAAAGACACCAACTTAAACAACCAGTACATACTGACACTTCATTGTACTATAAACTATTGACTACAAAGTCAATGTGTCATTCAGTAAGACAAGGTACAGACAGTGTGTGGTTTATGGTGCAAAAGCCATACAATTCATGCAAGGCAAAGAATCATAATATAAAAGACCTAATTTGTGTCTCTGTGTCAAATATTCCTCATCTTTGTCCTCCTCAGGTGCTAAACATCAGTAATGTGCATGCTCATCTTGCTAATAGTACAGTACAGGATTCATGTTGATCTTTCCCTGGTGCATCACCCTCAGTTGTGCATGAAGTGCCTGCAGCAATATAGTCCATGCAGTCTCTTCTAATGCAGCTTTCAGCCTGCCCTTCATCTAACTGAATGTCATTAATATGACCAAATGTTCATGTCTTAATTAAAACACTCATGGGAATTATGTGTATTGTTTACTAAATTAAATGGTGTATTTACCAAACACTATCCCTAATACAGAATATTCACCATACTTTATTATCCAACACCATGTGCAATACTTTACTGGAGGATACAGCATAAAGACAGCTAAAGTAGTGTATTAAGACAAATGATATTCAAGAGAAATAAAAATGGGTTATGTTAAAACCATGTTATTTTAATCAGATGAAGCCACCCAAATGCATGCATGGTGAAATGTCTTGAGCAACAAAGAATCACGTCCAGTTTCCTTATCATCATCATCATCAGAGCTCTCCTGGTTTTCTTCCTCTGCTTGCTTATCCATGTCCCTATCATAATCTTCTGCCATGTCATACAAAATTTGCAGTTGTTATGCAGCACCCTACAGCACAACTGATGAACAAAAGACATGTGACCAATTCAAATCAAATCACTTTATTGTCACAATACCATGAACGCAAGTGTACAGGTGGTGAAAGTCTTGGGTGCAAACTGCAGCATGACAGTATGGATGACAAATGAATGAATAAATATGAAATACAAATACTGAATATATATGCAACACATATATAAGGGACTCAATACAGGTAGAGAACAATATATGGTAAATATTATGCTATACAGCTCATGAAATGAAAACAATAATAATCACAGTACACATATACCTTTGCAGTGCAGCACGGTATGAATTAGTGCAAACAGAATGTCAGGGTGCAGAATAATAGGGAGTCCAGTCAGCGTAACTGATAGAGTGCAGTGTATATGAGGTTGGTGGGGTGTGCTGTGTGGTGTTACTGGTACGAGTTCAGTTCAGTCTGATTGCCTGTGGAAATAACTCGTCTCGCTGTCTGCTGGTGCAGGTTCTGCGATAACATCTGCCTGATGGTAACGGTGAGAGCAGTCCATGGCTCGGGTGGCTGGAGTCTCTGACGGTCCTCCTCACACACCACCTGGTGTAGATGTCCTGGAGAGACAAAACATGTATTTAGGGTGTGGTAAATCGGTAAACAATATATATAGTGTTTTTATTTCTAATTGTTGGTCTGGACTTACCATTGATTCTTGTTGGAGGTTGTTGGAGGTATGGGCCAAAAGAATCCCTCCACAACTATCTTGCAGTTGTTCAGTTGTGAAATTTACTTAACATCTGCGCTGTCACAGTAGAGCTGTTTGTGAATGCAGTCTTCACAGCAGATAACTGATGGGTTCAGGCAGCAGTGCAGTACTTGGTGGCCATTGAATTGATATCTTCATCAACTGGCTTCATCTTCCTTCAAACAAACAGACAAAACAATAAGTCAACATTAACTCCAGAGAAATGGTGTTGGTGAATACAGGTGCAGGTGTCAGTACTCACCATATTCAGTCATTTTCTGCCCAAATCCCAGAGATGATGCACAGCTGATTTGCTCATTCTAGGAGCTATAAAAAGATGCATATGTGAAAAATGATTTGACTCGAAGAGTCTTTTGAGAGATCAACATCAATGCTGTACCACACATAACTGCATTGAATACAGATATACCAATGGAAATGTGCAACTTTTCAGCTCTCTGTCTTTTCTGTTTGTGCACAAGAAGGCCATGTTCATTCCTCATTCATCAGGACTGGTTTGACCGGCTTGCTGTGACTGATTTTCTGCGTTTTTGGTCTTCAGCTGTAAAACAAGAAAATATTTATTGATCCCATGTTTAATTATTATTGTTGTTTAAACATATAAATGAAGAAGTTATAATTATATACTTCAAGCTCAAGTTCCCTGGCTCTCGCAG